AGAAGTAGATGGGGGGGTCGGAGGGCTGTGGGGGTTGTGGCCGGGCGGTGGGGTCTGGGGTCTCAGGGTCTTGGCTCGGGGCGTGTGGGGGGATCTGGGTGGTTCTGGAGGGGTTGAGCCCCACGGACCCTCCTGGTTGGAAATGGGGGGTCACGGAGACCCTGCAGGGAAACTGAGGAAGGGATCGTTTGTGGGGGGAGCTGGAGCCCTCAGGCTCGGTGGGACCCCCCGGGATGTCACCCCGCGTCACCCTCAGTGCCATCTGGACTCCTGGGGTGGGAGAGGACCCCTCCCAAAACCCCCGCAGCGCCAGCATCCCCTGCTCGCTTCGCCCCCTTCCCCACGGCGGGGCACCCCGAATTAGGGCGGGGGCAGCCATGGGCGGGTCTCTGGGGGCAGGGGGTCTCACCCCGCCCCGCTGGGACACTGCGGGGGGACCTCGGGGGTCCCGGGGCACCCACAGGGTCCTGGGGAGGTGCTTTAATCCCCCCATGACCCAAAGCTGCCAGCACTGGAGCTGCGGGTGCTGGTGGTGCCCGGGGAGGGAAACTGAGGCACGGGGACATCTCGGGGACCCCTTCCCCCCGCAGGATTTGACCCCGAAGCCACCCTGGGGGTTCATGCCCGGGACCTCGGCACCCCCCAGAGCTGGGGGGGGGGGGGGGGCCCCCCCCCCCCCCGGGGGGGGGGGGGGGGGGGGGGGGCAGGCTGAGACCTGACCCAGCTCATCCCATGGGTGGGGCCGTGACTCACCCACCCGGCAGGGCCCCCTTTGAGGGCCCCCAGGTTTGGGGGATCCCTGAGCCTTTTGGGGCATTGAGAGGGAGTCGGGTGAGGGGACCCCGACACTGGGGTCCCTTTGGGTCCCTTTTGGGGGCCTTTGAGGGGTTTGGGGTGCTGGGGGAAATGGAGTTCTCTGGTGTCTGGGGCTGGGGTCGAGCTCAGGACATTTGGGTTTTCCCAGCTTTGGGGTGTCCCTGCTCCTTCTGGGGTCACCTGGGTTCCTCTTGGGATGGGGGGAGTGGGGTGAGGGGTTTGGGGGTGCTGAACCATTGGGGGTGGTTCTGGGGCCTCATGAGGGATGATGGAGGAAATATGGGGGACCCTGCCCTTTGGGGGTCCCCTGTGTCTGAGGATGAGGTCAGGCCCACAGGGCTTGGGGCCTTGTGCCCCCCCCCAGATTTTTCTGCTGGGGAACCTGAACCCCCACTTCCACCACTGAGGGTCTGTCCAAGCTCAGACCCCCCAAATCCACCTCCCGAATGGGCTCCTTCTCCTCAAACCCCACCTCCCCATGGAAAAAAAAATCTGGGGGTCAGACAGACACTTCCTGCCCCCCAAATGTTCCTGGAGCAGAGAATCCTCAAGCCCATCTCTGTCTTTGTGGGAGCCCCCCCAAGCTCAGCCCCCCCCACAGATGCACCTCCTGAATGGGCTCCTCACCCCAAAACCCACCTCTCCATGGAGGGGACCCCCAAAATCCAGGTGCTCAGGTGGGCACCTCCTCACATTGACGTGTCCAGGGTGTTTTTGGGGGGGTCTCTGCCCCACAGCGGGGTATCCCTGCCCCATATTGGGGGCTGGTCCCTTGGCTGCCACCCGGGTGGGGTTTTGGGGTGCAGTGACAAGCTGGGGCCTGTCGGGGCAATTAACCTCTGTAATTAGCGTCGGGAGGAGCCGCCCGAACTCTCGGTACTTTCACACGCACACCCCTGCACTCCTCCCCTCCCGGCACCCCAAAGCTCCTCCCGCTCCCCCACAGCCCCCCGAGACTGCGCCCCCAGACCCAGCACATTTTGAGTCAGTGTTGCCTTTTTAATTGGGGTGAGATGTGGAGTGACCCCAGGAGCTGGGGAGCCCCCAGGAGTGCCTTGGGGTGTGGTCTCATTTTTGGGACCCTGGTTGGGCTTTGGGGCACGTTCTGGCCCTTTAGAGGGTGTTCTGGATTTGGGATCCCAAGGGTCTGGGGAGGGAGGGATGGAGGGAGGGTGGGGGAGGGATGGATACAGGGATATCCTGGGGTGCAGCCCACCTGTTTCCCATCCCCAGGAATTTGGGGAGGGGATGAGGCTGCCTCTGGGGGACCTACTGGGTCCAACCCCCCCAGTCCCAATGGTTTTCCCTCAAAAACAGGGGATCCCCCCCACCTTGAGCACCCACCCTGATACTTTTAATACTGAATTCATTTTGGTGTCCTTGTTTGCCCTCCATGTGGGAAGAAACAGGGGGACCTGGGTGTCCAGTGGGTCTTTATTCCCAAGGGATATTCACATGGATTCCCGTGGGACCCCCAGGGTCAGCCCTACCCCTGCCTGGGGCCCACCCCCACCCTGTGACCCCAGAAGGGTCCCCAGCCCCTCACGGGGATCATGGGGGGCTGTCAAGTCCAAGTGGGTGCTCCTTCCTGGGGCTGCCTCCCCGGTGATCCCAGTCCTCCTTCCCTGGGATCTGTTTCCCAGCGCTGGGGCTGAGATGAGCTTTCCCTGTTGCTGGGCATGGTGTGGGGTCCCACCCCTGGGCAGTGGCACTGCAGGAGAGGTGACAC